AAACATCCTCAAGAGTGTTGTGGGCAAAGCGTACTCTTTTTGTTAATATGTGGCATTACACAAACGTTTTCTGAGGCCTCAGCAACATCTTGCAAACACTTTTGAAATGTTGGTTCAAGAATGTTCTTCTTCTGTTGTCATGTAATATAATCTGACAGCCGTGACAACGTCCTGTGAATGTTTCGATTAAAACAATGTGTCTTATAGGAACGTTATTTAAAATGACAAATGTTCCTTTAACTGAGGCTTTCTGGCAGAATGTTCAATTTGTTTGAAGTCTATTTAAACATCAGGGACGACTTTGTGTCACTCTGAAGTTATACATCTGACAGAACATAACTGATCCGAGTAGCACATGTGTGACTTGTGGAATAACTGTAACGTTTAATCATCATAGTGTGGAAAATGCTTGAACTCAGAGAGCGCAGCCCTCGTCAACAAAGTAATGTGGATCTGCACCAAAACTGATCTGCCACACTCTCCACTGAGCTTCATGAAATACAGCCTGGTAGTTCTTGAGTAATCCTGGTTTCAGACAAAGCAATGGCGCTGAAAACATACCTAAATAATTACAGAGTTGAAGTGACAAGATACAAAGCAGTTCACAGGAATGTGTTTTTTTGTTAAAAGCAGTAGACAGACACAGCAGTCACCGTCTTGGCAATATTCATCCGGCGCCTCCCCATTTTTCCAATCCAAGACTCAAAAGCTGTGATATAATCTAAACCAGGGGTGTCCAATCCTGGTCCTCGAGGGCCACAATCCTGCATGTTATAGATGTTTCCCTCTTCCAACACCTGATTCAAATGATCAGGCTTCTGCAGAGCTTGATGATGAGCTGGGAAACATCTAAAACATGCAGGATTGTGGCCCTCGAGGACCAGGATTGGACACCTCTGATCTAAACTGTTTTGCACTCCTTCATCTGAGTGTATAAGAATGACTAGGCGTTCCCCGAGGTTCTCCTCTCAGGCCCGTTCTGTCAAAGACCAGCTCTCACAGCTTTACACTGGATTGCTGTTTGGCAAATAATCGACTTTCAATCAGCAACATCTGAGTAAAATCTCTGTGAGAGAGGAAGGAACCAGAGGTGAAGCACTCACCACGTGTGGCTCCGAGGAAGCCACGTGTCCTTCCCCACCTTCTCAATGCAGAACTTCTGTGGCCCATTACTTCCTGCAATGCAAAAGGAGACGAGAGTTGAGAAAACTGTAAAGCTCTTAAAGCTGCGCAGCTCTTGGCATCTGAACGATGATAAACATGCTCTCTTGTGTAATTCTGTCTCTTTGTGTATTTGTGTGTGCGACTGACCCATGAGTTCAGCGAAGCCGCCCAGAGGAAGCCGGCAGGTTCCAGTGACAAACTGCATGAGCCGTAGTCGCACTTCGTTGTCCACTTCTTTCACCAGCTGCATGGAGAACAAACACACACATCAGTGACCAGAGAGACCTCCGTCATCACCGACTACACCCAAAACAACCCAAATCCTATTCCTATATGTAACCGTAGTTATTCTGCAGAAGATGTTTGTTTTATTGAGACCTCTTTAATGGTTACTTTTAGAGAATAAAAGAGGCCTGAAAAGAAGCTGATTCCATGTGTGTGTGTGTGTGTGTGTGTGTGTGTGTGTGTGTGTGTGTGTGTGACTGTACCTGCCAGAACCAGATGATTTGTTTGCTGTTCCTGGTGTAGTGACGGTACACCGTGTTTCTCTGCCAGTCCTGCAGGTCTACCTCCTGCATGCCACACAGCATCACCTGGATCCAGCAGACACATAGAAGTAAACAAATAAACAGATCAAACAAACAGAAGCAGAGTGAAGGATAATCTCACACATCTCACACAAGGAGGGGGTAGAGAGACATAATCATTTTCTACACACACAGCAACATTATTTCATTGTTTTCTGGTGTAGTAGACTGGTTCATGAGTGTAAACTTAAGTGGAGTTGGGTGTTAGTTATCATTAATATTAAATAGTTAACAGTCAAATGACTTCTGTCACACAACACGGGCTGCTCCACTGACAATCACTAGCCACCAGCTCGTAGCGATGCTGTCACAACGCATTACTACTCGCCTACAACTCAAGAACTTTAGTTGGTCGGCATTAAGTGTCACCAGAGACTTTCCCATGGTAGCGCTTTACTAACTAAACTCCCACAGCGCTCTGTGCTTGCCAACACAGAACCACCAGCGGTCTAGTTGCCTCCTTGGGTCACTGCAGTGTTTAACAGCAAGAGGCTTCACCTGAGGGTGCAACCACGAACTGCAGCTACAATCTACCTGTTCTGACCTGCATGTTCTTTGTCTTCTGCCTTGGTGTTTAATATGTTCAACTAACTGGTTAAATTATCAACTGCAATTAATCAATTCACCGTTAATATAACCAGTATTAAATAAAAAAGACACAGTACAGACATGAGAAAAGAAGTCACTACAGCACTCAAAGTAGGTTCGAAGAGCTGCTCACCTCCAGCTCCTTTTCATCAAAGTACTGAAGCCACTGAAGTGGAACCACCTCATTGAAGCCATCCAGGAAGGCTTTAGTCTGACCTTCTACGCCGCGAGAGAACCTCCATTCTGCCATTAGACTGAAAGTAAAACAGCAGAAATAAACATAAACATCTTCAAAAGTAAATGACTCCAAACCACCTTCAGATGTCAGATATATTTGCTGTTATGGTGAAGCAGTGCATCTGCTGAACCTGATGTACTCCTCCTTGTTCTCCTCAGTGACCAGGACATTGGCACCATCAGGTTTGAGGTCATGAGACGTGATCTTCCCCAAGATCTCCATGTCGACAGAGAAGTACATCTCCAGACAGCATTCCTCGATGTTGTTGTCCCTGAGAGGAGATAGGAATGTTTTGGTGCCACAGCATAATACAGTTTGAACACAGAATATAGTTCCTCTGAAAGCTTACACAGCATCGCGTAAACTCGTTTGGCAGCAGACCCACGATGACGGAGGTTGATTTATATGTAGAAGTCCTGCACGAGAGCTTTAATACTGACATTGTTTCTGCATTCGTGTTAAACAAACCAAAACACACTTTAAATTTTACATTCCCCAAAGAAGATCCCTTTTGCATATTCTAGGCATTATCTCAACCAGCTCCATGGCTGGAACTATAAATCACACACTTGGACTCAATGGACCAAAGTACAGATTTATACTGGTGTAAGGTCACATCCTTGTGGTTTTTGGCCAAGAACTCTCCCTCAGTAGTGGCTTCTTTTCAGTAATTCAACAATGAAGGCTGGATTTCTGCAGCCTCCTCCCAACACCTGATGTTGAGATGTGTCTGCTCGTTGAACTGTGGGAAGCACTAATGTGAGCTCGAGTCTGAGGCACCACTGGATGAACTGTCGTTTCTCTTAGCTGAGAGATTATTGGAATAGGGCTGTTTGCTGTATACCAACACAAACAAATACACAACCAGAAACTTGCCAGAAGTTTGTGGACGGCGACCAAAAGCACCAAATGGCATGAAAACGGTCATGGGACATTTAACTAAAGAAAAGGATTGATGCATGCGTGCAGATTTTGTCATATTTCCAGAAGATCTATAATAAATGTATGAACACACTAAAATGAATAATAGTTTTCCGTTTCAACAACTCCTCGAGAGAGTTCAAGAGGTTTACGAGTCATTGGAAACTCTACGCTGCCATGATATATGGACTTTACAAGTGCATGTAAACTTTTGTGCAAAACTTCCCGTGTTATTTTAGTTGCAATAGCCTCGTTTTTTTCCCCTACGCTAAAGGAAACAGTAAAAATGAAGGCTTGACAGAGGAGGCATGTTCCAACTTCTGAGTGGTGCTGTATATAAAACACTGTGCATTTGTTCCTGCGAGAAGAGTTATCGCTCCTCTGATGCTTCTCCTTAAGCGTCTCCCTTTTTAAGTTATCCAAAGCAAAGGTCAAAGGATTAAGGGTACGTTTTTGTACAGACTGCAAACATCCCCACATAAATTTTGGACAATATGAAGTCAAGTGATTTGTCCTGTCTCCAGGAGTCAGTTTGGATCAAAAAGAACATTAGGATACATTGCTGCCTCATACTTCAAGTATGTTTTAGCTTAAAAAGGAAGTCATGGTTGTAAACTTAAAGTTGTACGAACTGGGGAGGCTTTATTTATGTGCTCTTGCAATTTACAAGCAGCTCAAGAAGTTCTACAGCTAGTAAGTGTTATTTTCAGGTCGATGCTTTTTGGTGAATTCTGTAGCACAAGAGTTTGTTTAAACTGCATCGACAATTTAGTACCACAGTACCCACTGACAATGGTTCTCTCAGTCAGGTCAGGGGGCTTTAAAATTTTCGTTCGTTTTTAAAGTGTAATTCTAAATTTGAAGATTACGGTGATCTTGTAACATTAAAATAAAACGCATTTCATTTTTTGTCGCTCAAAATATGCGTCACAACCGCCAATGTGTGACACCCACTGCCCACTTGGTGACTTTCTCGCTAAATCTGGCGATATTCCAAAACCTTTTGGCTACTTTTTTTTTGTCAAAAGCGACTAGCGACAAATCTAGCAACTCTTTCTGGTGTTTTGGAGACTATTCGATGCTGCCATGAGCTCCTCCCGTCCCAAAGCACTCACAGGCGCTCAGGAGTCTGGTCAGAAGTCCCAGCTGCAGCCAGCAGGACAACCAGACAGCACTTTTACTTTGCTGCTGGTGGATAATTTAAGTTCGGCTTTTTATTTCATAAATAGAAAGAGGATTCAAATAGACATTGAGTATTTCATTTGAAAGCAACCTTGAACCCGTCTTTTTTTTTTGGAGTTCAAAATGTTTTTTGTTGTTGTGTTGCATGCAGAAATAAAATTTAGTTTCCTCTGTAGCAGTTCATTCATTTCATAAATGCAGCACACTCTAGTTTTATATACATAGCATAACGGTAAAAAACGATATATACTATCTGTGTTATCTTCATTTAGATGTCAAAAGGGTTTCGTGGCTCCCGCTGTTTTCGTTTCCGTGGGAAACGGGTCCAAATGGCTCTGTGAGTGTTTACGTTTGCCGACCCCTGGTCTAGATGATTCAATTAGGAATACACGTAGCACATACATCTTCAATCTAAGGTTCAACTCCAAGTGCAGTGAAACCCCTACCACTGAGGTGATCAATAAAATAAGATGATGAACGTAAACTTAAAATGTGCTAATTTTCCACATTTATATGTGACAACCATGTGAATTCTGAAGGCCACATAGACAGATGAAACTGATTACCTGATCCATATGAGTGAGTTGTAGAATTCTGGGTCGATGGACTCCAGGTCTTTGAGTATTAGCTTCTTGTTCAGCATGCGTTTGTAGAAAGGCAGAGAGAAGCCCGTGTCAATGAACTTGCCGTGGAAAAGTGCCTGCAGAGATAAATAAAGAAACACAACATTTTACCGTCATGACCAACCTGAAAATATAAGGTAAACAAATGAACTCAAAACCAGTCTGTTATGACAAAGGGAATCTTCTTACATGTAAGAACTGTGTGAGACATATTTAAACATTTATCTATATATAAGAAACCAACACCCCTGTCTACATGTGTGAGTGTTCATTTCTGTAACTTTCAGAAACTGTGAGGTGGGTTAAGGAGAAAGTGTGTTGTATGCTGGACAGCAAGATCCTCTGAGGCAACTTTGAGATTTGTGATACTGAGAAACATAAATAAAATTTGAGTTGACGTGACAATCTGGCACTCACTTCATGTCACAATTGGCCAGATTTGCAGGTGTTAGACAGTAATCACCGACTGAACTTACTCTCAAGTGTCTTTTTCATTTTTGGAACCAATCTGTAATTACTAACGTGACCAACCAAGTGCAGCATTATGAACGTCTCAGCCAGCTTTTCTTAAACAGCACACAGTGTATAAACTGTGGTGTGGTTGGACAACACATCTTCAAATCCCCATCAATTCTGGGACAACCCAGGCATTAGTGTGATCACAGTGCTTTTCATGTGTGTGGCCGACATGTGTACGTGCCATTGCAATAAAGCGGCCAATGAAGCAGAAATAGGAGAGGTGGTCCGGGTTGATGGCAGAGGCTGGGTTGATCTGCAGACAGTAGTTGCTCTTGCCAGCGTACTCAAACAGACAGTACATCGGGTTCAGCACTTCATGGGACAACAAGAAGAACCACTCTCTGAAAAGTGAGACAAAAAAAGAGAGGTCAAAGGTAAAGTGTACGTAGACATAAGACGGAAAAACATGGAGAATAAGAGGAGAAATAGACAGGGAGAGTTGCACAACATCAATCACTGCTTACATTTCACATACTTGTATTTTACATTTTGTTGTTTTTAAGGTTTTTATTACCGAGCTAAGCCACCGTAGTCGAGACCCTCCTCGCCTCTGAAGATGACATACAGTCTCCTCCTCAAGTCGTAAGGCTTCAGGGCCATAATCTAAAAGATGAATCAAAGACACACAAGATCAGCTAAAACACAACATGACTCGGGCACAGTTTGGAATACATAGTAGGAGAAAACTGAAATGTGTTGCTGTATCGTCAGTTTAAACTGGAGGAGGACAGCAGTAGAAGGATCCTCTTACTTGCTGAAAAGAGTCTTCAAACAGTGTCTGTCTGGAGACGGTGATCTTCACATGGCTAGGGAGAGCATTAGACTGGGGAGAAAGACAAAATGAAAGGGGGTTAGAAAGAGTGTCAGGGTCAGTTAGAACAAGAAAGAGAACGAGAGAGGAAACGGGAAGGAATGCCTACCTGGCACAAGTAGCGGAAATGAGCAAGCTTCCATCGGAAGCTGCGCTCATATGCGATCTGAGGGCCTTTGGTACTGAGAAGTGCAAACGATTTAAAGATTAGAATATTGGAAGTATAAGCTGACAAATACAAAGGAAATCTGTTTATTTTATCGGGGTGAATAGTTGAATAGTTCACCTTTTATGTGCAAAAACAACTATGCTTGCCATGTATGTATGTGTTCCGTTATCTTGACATAAAGAAAACATTTATAAAAATTTCCTGAGTTCCAAGAAGAAATATCACATTTCCTGAAGGGCCGGAGAAATGAAATACCAGAGGGAAGCATTGTTTTCTGAACCAGCATGTGTTTTTCTATACCTTACAGCTGTATATGCATTAGTTAAATTAAATACAAAATGACTCCATCTGGCCCTAGCAAATGGGTTTTCCTAAACGTTGCATAAACACACATAACTGCAGCTCTTCAGGCTCCTGACAAAACGCAGCCTCTGGCATCGCTTCAGGCAACGAGACGCAACAAAGAACACACGAACAAGTTAATTATTTTTAAATGCTTCTTACACAGAGGACTTTCCAGTGCGGGGGTCGCTGAAAGTGGTTGTTCGGGTGTTGTGATCCACAAAGTAGCGAACCCCTTCCCTTGTGTACCGGATCTCCCAACCTTCAGGCAGAGGATCCTCATTCTGTAGCCTGTAGGCGCACACACACACACACACCAATCATATATATGAACTGATAACTGTAGAAGATAAAAAAATATATATATATGCTCTAGGCCACAGTCCAAGCTAAAGTTACGAAAGCCCAGAATTCTTTAATAAAAAAAAATCATCCAGCTGTGGCTCGTCCCATTAAACAAATCAAGTTCACTTTAACCGTCAATGACAAGTAAAAATAAGACATTGTTGAGCTTTTCCATTACAGTGAATCCTGCCAAACCCAATACTACTAAATGGGTTAGAAAAACAAAAACAGTAGAGAGCATATGAGAGAAATGTTTTGATGAGCAGAACAGGCAGACAGGCCTCACGAGTTTCTATACTGCATAAATCTGCATAACCTGTTCATGTAGATTATATGACTGTAATTACTCATCTTAACTGTACTAAAATCAGATGAGAAAAGCAGGCATTAATTCCCTTTCAGGTCATATTCAATGAACTAAAAACACCATAGCTGCTTTCTCAGAAATGAACTCTCTAATTATTTACATGTGTTTTCAACTTGTTAACTTTTCAAAATGATAGATGAATTTCTTGACGAGTGCTAGCACAGTGCAAGGGTTTGTGTATTTCAAAGTTAAGAGAAGCAACTTCTCATGGTTCTCTGATTTCTGTTTACTGACAGCACAGTCGTGACT